GGAAGGGTTCATACCTTTAATGCAGTAATGCATTAAGGCAAAATATCTTTTGGCTTTAGAACCACAATTATCCACAGTTACATATTTTTTTGCAAAGTTCTGACTAAGCCATATATAAAAAAGTGATGCTAGATAGCTTATAATAACCCTAAAAATTATTTTAGGCCTGAGGGTTCGTTAAAGCTCCCAAACTTTTTGTATTTTCTGAAAGCAGAGACCCTGGAGAATAAAATTGTGGTAGTTCCAATCTTTTATGTCACACAGTTTTAGCACAACAGTTTACCAAGCACATATTTTCAGTGCAGTATGCATTAAGGCTTGGGCACACAAACAATATATTACTCCTGTTTTTTGGCAAATTACAGAGGATGACATTGCATAAAAAGATTCACGGTGGTGAAGTGGTTACCGCTTAGCATCACTAGGATCATCGGTTGAAATCCCAACCATGGCACTATCTGCCTGGAGTTTGCATATGCTCCCTGTGCCTGCGTGGGTTTCCTCCCACACTCCATAGAAATGCTGGTAGGTTAATTTGATCTGTCTACAGATGAAACTCGAAAAATTAGAATATCGTGCAAAAGTTCATTTATTTCAGTAATGCAACTTAAAAGGTGAAACTAATATGAGATAGACTCATTACATGCAAAGCAAGATAGTTCAAGCCGTGATTTGTCATAATTGTGATGATTATGGCTTACAGCTCATGAAAACCCCAAATCCACAATCTCAGAAAATTAGAATATTACATTCAATCAATAAAACAAGAATTGTACATAGAACAATATCAGACCTCTGAAAAGTATAAGCATGCATATGTACTCAGTACTTGGTTTGGGCCCCTTTTGCAGCAATTACTGCCTCAATGCGGCGTGGCATGGAAGCTATCAGCCTGTGGTACTGCCGAGGTGTTATGGAAGACCCGGATGCTTCAATAGCAGCCTTCAGCTCTTCTGCATTGTTCGGTCTCATGTCTCTCATCTTTCTCTTGGCAATGCCCCATAGATTCTCTATGGGGTTCAGGTCAGGCGAGTTTGCTGGCCAATCGAGCACCATAATCCCACGGTCATTGAACCAGGTTTTGGTGCTTTTGGCAGTGTGGGCAGGAGCCAAGTACTTCTGGAAAATGAAGTCAGCATCCCCATAAAGCTCGTCTGCGGAAGGAAGCATGAAGTGCTCCAAAATCTCCTGGTAGACGGCTGTGTTGACCCTGGACTTAATGAAGCACAGTGGACCAACACCAGCAGATGACATGGCTCCCCAAATCAACACAGACTGTGGAAACTTCACACTGGACTTCAAGCATCTTGCAGTGTGTGCCTCTCCATTCTTCCTCCATACTCTGGGTCCTTGGTTTCCAAATGAGATGCAAAAGTTGCTCTCATCAGAAAAGAGGATTTTGGACCACTGAGCAACAGACCAGGTCTGTTTTTCTTTTAGCCCAGGTAAGACTCTTCTGATGTTTGTTGTTCAGGAGCGGCTTGACAAGAGGAATACGACATTTGAAGCCCATGTTCAGTATCCGTGTGTGTGTGTGTGGTGGCTCTTGATGCACTGACTCCAGCCTCAGTCCACTCCTTGTGAAAGTCCCCAGTGGCCTTTTCCTGACAATCCTCTCCAGGCTGCGGTCATCCCTGCTGCTTGTGCACCTTTTTCTTCCACACTTTTCCCTTCCACATAACTTTCTATTAATGTGCTTTGATACAGCACTTTGGGAACATCCAACTTCTTTTGCAATTACCTTTTTTGAGGCTTTCCCTCCTTATGGAGGGTGTCAATGATGGTTTTCTGAACAACTGTCAGGTCAGCAGTCTTTCCCATGATTGTGATTCCTACTGAACCAGACTGAGAGACCATTTAAAGGCTCAGGAACCCTTTGCAGGTGTTATGGCTTAATTAGCTGATTAGTGTGGGACACTTTGAGCCTAGAATATTGCACCTTTTCACAATATTCTAATTTTCTGAGATTGTGGATTTGGGGTTTTCATGAGCTGTAAGCCATAATCATCACAATTATGACAAATCACGGCTTGAACTATCTTGCTTTGCATGTTAGAAATTAAATTTATGATTCGGCACTTATATTGATGGCAAGCTTGCAAAATATTTGGTTTTTGTGATTAATCATAATTAATATTAATATGTGTGAATGGTCTTTTGACAAATGGTAGTATTACAATTCTTCAATTATAGCTGAGACCGAAAGATATGGGTAAGTTAGCTGAGATCAGCTAAACCAGCTGAAGACTATATTTAGGCATAGCTGGTTAAAAGTCTCTGGTAGTAATATGTCAAGGGTATTAGGAGTACTCATTATAGACTTACTATTACATAATGTATTTTAATAATATCTGTGTGTATTTAGTATACATTTCTAATATTGATACATATAGATTAGTGATTATACATTGATATGTTGTAAAGATATAATCTTTAAATATGAATAGCTGAGGTTACATCATTAGCTTATAGTATTATGTACATCAGCATACATATGTTCCTGTCCATCAAAAACATTATGTGAGTGTCGTCCCCTCCCTTCTATGCCATACAAGGTATTAAGAATCTCTCGCTACTACACACTCGTTCTGCATAAAAGGTCCATAAGGGACAGAGGACGAGAGCTCACACACGCTAACACTGACACTCTTTCATACATAACACACACGCACACACACGTATGAGAAGCTGGAACAGGTGCTTGCTGCAAGACAATATCGTCACTTCCGTCTATTTCCGGTTTCTTCCCAAAGTCTCGTGAAGGACAAGGAGAAGATGGACGTTGCACATGGTCAGACAGTTATGACAATAATAGTGACTTTTTCTTTAAACTTCTGCTTGATATTTCTACAGTAGTTTTATCTACATGGAACTGTTCATGATATACTTAACATTGTTATTTTAAGCCATTGTGTGATAGAATAAAATCACACTTTTATTTTTTATTTCAACGGCTCTTTCATTCATAATCGCCTCAAGACACTGAAGAAGTATTATGTGTCTAAAAATCCAACACATGTAATGAGTCTATCTCATATATTAGTTTCACCTTTTAAGTCGCATTACTGAAATAAATGAGCTTTTGCACGATATTCTAATTTTTCGAGTTTCACCTGTATATTGGTCCTAGTGTATGTATGAATGTAATTTAGGGACCTTCGACTGTAAGCTCCTTGAAGGTTAGGGACTGATGTGAATATACAATATATGTGTGTAAAGCACTGAGAAAATTGACAATGCTATATAAATACCTGTAATGAATAAACACCCCTGTATAAAAAGATACCAAACCTGTCAAGTTGTCAAGCCTTAAAGTGGTTCTAAATTTAAAACCCTTTTTCACCCTAAAGTGACAAAGGCATTTTTTTTTTCTATATAACAAACCTGTCATACTTGCTCTGGGAGCACTCAGCAGAAGGGAGGGGCCAGGAGCACCGCAGGGGGACCCAAGAAAAAGGTGCAGTGGTTTTTCACAGAGCAGCCCCAATCCTCCTTTTCTTGTAATGGGGGCACCCAAGCAGGCTCTGTCCTGAGCCACTGTTCTACGGGTCCATTCACACACTGAGGCATGGCTTGGCCCCACCCCCGGTTTTTCTTCATTTGCTCACTGGCTGTGATTGACAGCAACGGAAGCCAACGAGAGGGAGAATCTTTGGAGAGCTGAAGCTCTTCTGCACATCGTTGAATCGCAATGGGGCTCAGGTGAGTAGTTGGGGTGCCTGCTGCACACAGAAGCTTTTTAACCTTCATGCATAAAGGCAAATAAACCTTGAGTCTTTACAACCACTTTAATGCATCTCCTACATTTGGGGTGAAAAGCGGTTTGCCATCTGTTGTGCCCCCCCCAAACACTTACCTGAGTCAGCAGTCACAGAATGCAGCTGCTGGTGCAAGCGAGCCCCTAGATTTGATGGCTGCGTTCATTTTAGGCTAAGAGCATTTTCTGCAAATGAAAAATACCTGGTGATCCTGCCACAAATGTACTGTCCTTTTACCTTCCTGTGTACTGAACTGAAGTCTCAAACATGTTAGCCTTCCTAGTTCATCCCTGTGAGCTACACAGCATCTCCACTGTGCTATACAGATGAGGAGAAGTGGAGTTGTTCTGTCATCCTAACACACTTTTTGTCCTAGAGTGACAACACTGACCCTCCATAGAGACAGTCCAGTGAGAGTGCGTTGTCACTTTGACTGGAAGTGTGTTTGCTAGGTGGATCACCAGCCGAAAATAAAGGCAAGGGAAAATAAATAATGCATAAACCACATCTAAGGACTGGTAAGCTGAAATTTACTCCCTTCTAAGTATTTGCTGCCCTTGAATTTAACATTAAAAACAAAAAAAATAACGAACAAATATCCCCATTGGAAGCTTTTCTCTCACTTTCTATTCTGGTGGTAACACAAGATTTTGAATTAATTATCTTTAGTCCCATTTACATTGGTCATCAAGGCAAATCTTCCTAATGGGGGACACAGAAAGTGATAAAAAACCTGACTGAAATTTGAATCCCTCAATACTATATCCAAAACAAAACGTCTTTACTTTGGATAAAGGAAAATGTGCCTCAGAGTAAAGTACACTTATCCTTTTAGTACCCTGACCTATTCTAACCTTTCCTGCCCCTCCACAGTCCCATCCTTATTTCTATCCAACAGCCACAGTTCTGCTACTTATTTACACCTAGCACTGCAAGTCTTCATTATCCTGGCCACATACGCACAGTTAGTGCCTATAGACTTCTATGCAGCCATCTGATTGTCTCTAGCCTCGAAACACAAACTCTGAGAAGCCTATGGGGCAGCGCTGGGCAAAAACAAACAGCAAAACCGTAGCCATGGGATTGAGGTAAATTATGTAGAGGGGGAGGTTAGGTTAGGGCAAGGGGTCAAAAAGCCAAAAATAGAGTATAATATGCAGCTACCCTTCATTATTTATAATAGACCATACGATATACAGTATATATTGTAAGCTTACTCATTCATGCTTTGTTTCCTTACAGAAACCTTAAAGGATGATGCAAAGAAGCCACGCAGTAAAACGTTATTTGCAAAGCTGCGCAGTCCGTTGACAGGTACCATGAAATACTGCTTTTTAGCTCCTTTACAAACTTTTTGCAATATGAGTCAAATTCTAAAATCAGTAGACTTCCTTTGCTAGATACAGTGCCTTGAAAAAGTATTCATACCCCTTGAAATTTTCCACATTTTGTCACGTTACAACCAAAAACATAAATGTATTTTATTGGGATTTTTATGTGATAGACCAACAAAAAGTGGCACATAATTGTGAAGTGGAAGGAAAATGATAAATGGTTTTCAAAATTTTTTACAAATATCTGAGAAGTGTGGCGTACATTTGTATTCAGCCCCCTTTACTCTGATACCTCTAATTAAAATCTAGTGGAACCAATTGCCTTCTGAAGTCACCTAATTAGTAAATACATTCCATCTGTGTGTAATTTAATCTCACTATAAATACAGCTGTTCTGCGAAGTCCTCAGAGGTTTGTTAGAGAACATTAGTGAACAAACAGTATTATGAAGGCAAAGGAACACACCAGACAGGTTAGGGATAAAGTTGTGGAGAAGTTTAAATCATGGCTAGGTTATAAAAAAAATAAAAATAAATAAATCCCAAGCTTTGAGCATCTCATGGAGAACTGTTCAATCCATCATCCGAAAATGGAAAGAGTATGGCACAACTGCAGACCTACCAAGATATGGCCATTAACCTTACTACCTTAACTGACAGGCCAGGGCAAGGAGAGCATTAATCAGAGAAGCAGCCAAGGGGCCCATGGTAACTCTGGAGGAGCTGCAGAGATCCACAGCTCAGGTGTGAGAATCTGTCCACAGGACAACTATTAGTCATACACTCCACAAATCTGGCCTTTATGGAAGAGTGGCAAGAAGAAAGCTTTTGTTGAAAGAAAGCCATAAGAAGTCCTGTTTGCAGTTTGTGAGAAGCCATGTGGGGACACAGCAAACATGTGGAAGAAGGTGCTCTGGTCAGATGAGACCAAAATGGAACTTTTTGGCTTAAAAGCAAAATGCTATGTATGGCAGAAAACTAACACTGCACATCACCTGAACACACCATCCCCACCGTGAAACGTGGTGGCAGCATCATGTTGTGGGGATGCTTTTATTCAGCAGGGACAGGGAAGATGGTCCGAGTTGATGGGAAGATGGATGGATTCAAATACAGGGCAATCTTAGAAGAAAAGCTGTTAGAGTCTGCAGAAGACTTGGGGACTGGGGTGGAGGTTCACCTTCCAGCAGGACAACGACCCTAAACATACAGCCAGAGCTACAATGGAATGGTTTAGATCAAAGCATGTGTTGGAATGGACCAAAGTCCAGACCTAAATCCAATTGAGAATCTCTGGCAAGACTTGAAAATTGTTGTTCACAGACGCTCTCCATCCAATCTGACAGAGCTTGAGGAATTTTGCAAAGAAGAATGGGCAAACATTTCACTCTCTAGATGTGCAAAGCTGGTAGAGATATCCCCAAAAAGACTTGCATCTGTAATTGCAGCAAAAGGGGGTTCTACAAAGTATTGACTCAGAGGGCTGAATACAAGTGCAAGCCTCACTTTTAATTTTTTTTTTTTTGTAAAAAAATATTGAAAACCATTTATCATTTTCCTTCCACTTCACAATTATGTGGCACTTTGTGTTGGTCTATCACATAAAATCCCAATAAAATTCATTTGTTTTTTGGTTTTAACATGACAATGTGGAGAATTTCAAGGGGTATGAATACTTTTTCAAGGCACTGTAGATCATTTTGAAAATATGTGAGCATACAAACTTGTTGAGTTTGAGCTAGTGAATTAGTGTGGTGGCCACTCCCTATCTTTAGTGGTGATTACTCCTTAAAGCTTTTAAAGCGGTTGTAAACAAAAAAAATAGATTTTGCCCCTGCAATGTAATGTTATAATTTGCTAGTATGCATTGCATACTGGCACATTATAAAAGACTTGCCTATGAAATAAGCCCTTCAGTGGCCTTGGCTGTGGTCACTTGAAATGCTGAGGCCATGATGATGTCACTCCCTCTGCACACAGCCCTGAAGGAGCAGCGTACCCATAGCCCTTGATGGCGCCGGCTGCCGCTCACTAGAATGTCTCCTAAACAGTGCATGTTTAGGAGATACTCATTTTACTTAAAGGTAAGCATTATTATAAGTTTAACTAGGTAAAAGTATAACAAATAGTTACTATCTTTAAGGCCTAATATTCAGGGTGTAACATGTTATGAAAGGACTGGTCCGCTCCCCCTCGCTTTGACAGCTAGCAGGGGATCTTTTCCTACTGCTAGCTGTCAAAATTTAAATACAACACAGCTGTGCGGGGCTCTGCCCGCTTGTCCGTGTCACTCATTCACATTATTCTGTGAATGAATGAACTACAAGTCCAGACAGCCTTAGCAGTTATCAGCTTGTAGTTCTCAATGAACTACCATGGTGCTGTGGTAATTCATTGATTCTTCCTGTCAGTGTATCTGCTTGCTCAAACGGGATGTATGGGCAAGTAGATATACTGACAAGTCTGCAGGAGACCTGCATCTCCCAACGATCTGCGAATCGTTGATGCTATGCTTTCCAGGCTCCAAAAACAAAAATTAATACACTTTATTTTTGAATAAAAAAAAAAAATATGCATTTATTATTTCTTGTCAAGAGGTGAACTTCTAGTGTTTTTGGCCATGTGCATCCTGATTCTTCGGTTTTGGTCCAGAATTTTCATTTCGGTGCAGCACTAAACTGAATGAAATTGAGCTGTGGGTGGCCCTGTCAGAACCCACAGCTGTCAGGATACAGTAGCCGGCAGGGGACATTACTCCTAAAACGCTGTTTTACATCGATGGGAAAATCAATAGATTTCTCTCCTTCAGACCAGGGACTGAACAAGAGAAATCTTATGTGTGGCCAGATTAACAGAATTCCAGAATGCTGCTTGATTGGCTGGAAGCTTTCCAATTCCCGCCATCTCAAAGCTTTTTATATCTTTAAATTTCAAACATTTAACATGGTAGTGATTGTCAAATAAAAAGCAATTTCCTCCCGGGACACACGAGTGGCAATTCAGTCAGCACAGCTGCTGGTGTGAAAGAGCCCTTAGAAATAGTTCTGGCTGGACATAAATTTAAAAAACTGTTTGGTTGTTATAATAGGTACATACAGTATGTAACTATATGGGTGCATGAGTGCTGTTTATGTTCTGTTTGTTCTGAGTTGTACCATATCACTTTTACTAATATCACTTTGCTCACTGAACCCCATAGAAAAAGTTCCAGCCAGTGCATTTGTTTTTCTCATGATTGCTTAAAGAATTCAGGCTTGTTTTGTCAAGTTATAACATCGGCTATTCTTGGATCTGGAACTTTCACTATATGGCTCAGGTTGTCTTTCAAGTGGTTTCTGTTGTTTCATTCATTTTATGGTGCAGTGTTGCTGTGTATGTGAGACCTGTCATATAATGAAAAATACATGAGATTTGTTTTTAATTTTTTTTTTTTTACTTTATAGAAAAAGGCAACATGTACCTGTTTATTAACTCTGGACAGCAGGTCTGTGAAGTGAAAGCTTTCCAAGAAGAATATCGATCTTGGTTCATAGGTCAGACAGTTCAACAAGGTAAGAGCCCTTAAAGCATATCTTAACCCAAATTCAAATGTTGAACTTATTGAAACATACCAATGTTTAAACTGTCTTTACTTTTTCATCCGTCGAGGTGCACAGGAAGCATTAAACCATTGAGTTATACTGATGCCTACAGGCGGATTGGACACTGGCAAACAAAAAATCTTGGCCAGCTGAGGATAACCCCTCCCACTTCCAGCATACCTCAATTTTTGGCTAGTGATCTAATAGTTGGTCTTTCCGTAGCTCTGCTGTACTAAGACTGTTTGTCTGTTTTTGTCGATCAAGATTCTGTATGATACTGCTTGGGCTTAGTAAAAAAAAAAAAAAATAACCCAAATTAGTTTATAACCAAAAATTATAATTTTTCAAAAACAATTTTTTTTTTTTTAATATTTTTTTTAACATACTGTCACCCTAGCAGTACAGTGTCACCATAGTGACACTGTACTACTTGTGGGGGGTGATGATGATTTTTTTTTTTTTTTTTTTTTTTTTTTTTTTTTTTTTTTTACACCCATAAAGGCTGTAAAAGCAATCATTTCTCCTTCTCTCTGGCTCTTTTCTTGCAGCCATTGAGAAATACTGTGAGAGCTGTGATTGGTCACAGTTTGCCACATGGCACAAGGCTGTTGTGAATAGCCTTGTACCATGTGACCTCTGTGATTAGACACATATTTCACTAGTAGTAAGCAATGATGTCAGCAAGTGACATCTTGTTTACTACTATTCATGTGATCACTGATTGGCCAATCAGTGATCGCATAATCAGGACCTCACACAGCGGTCCCGTACAGCAGGCACTGGATCGTGGTGCCGCGCACTCCCAGGGAGCACGCACAGGCAGTGAATGCGGGGCCATCTATAAACGGCCAACCACTTTGGCACTGCTCCCTTCCGACTGTTTATGTACAGTGTGGTTAAAGCTGAAGTGCTTAACTGGGCACTTACCATTCTGGTTGTGTGGATGTGCCTCCTCCCCTGATACCAACCTTATACCCCCCCCCCCCCCCCCCAGCAGATGCGGGATCTTCTTTCTGCTCACCAAAATTTAAAAACCGAGTTCTGTAAATGAATGAACTGCATCTACTGCCAGCCTCCTCAGCCAATGGCTTGTAGGGAGGATGCTGGTGAGGTTCACTGATTCTTCCTGCCATTCAGTAACTGGTACAGGCAGACAGCTGTACTCAGGGTCTGCAGGAGCCTGGTATTGCAACCATAATCTGCAGAGTAAAAAAAATTAAAAATGCAGTTTTTTTTTTTTTTGTTTGTTTTTTTTTTTACCTGCAAAAAGATGTGCATTTTTATTATTTTTTGTAAAAGGTGAAATTTGCCTTTTAGGCTACGTTCACACTAGCGTTGTGTGCAGGCGACAGGTGTTTGGGAAGCGTTTTTACCGTTTCCCAAACGCCTCTGCCAATTCTGCACATTACAGCACTTGCTGTTCTAACGGGAGCGTTTGCGTTGCGTCGCGGCAAAACGGACGCCTCTGGTCGAGTCAGGAGGCTTTGAAGCCTCCTATTCTCGTCTATGGTGCCGCTCCGCAAATGCCCGGCCGGCATTTGCGGTGCGGTTGCGGGGCGGTAACACCACTCAAACTGCATTATAGGCATTTGTGGGGCGTTATTAACGCTCGGCAAACGCCTAGCAACCGCCGCTAAACCCGCGCCAACGCTTGCCAAATGCTATAGGGGCGTTTGGCAAGCGTTGGTAAAACAGCCAAGTGTGAACGAGCCCTTAGGAACCCAACCAAAAAGCAGATGGAAGCACTCTCTAAAGCTCTATTCTCACTGGCAGACTGTAACCTTGACCTGATTTTGTCTGTGCCCTTACTTTTTCAGACCATATCAAAATCTTTTAAGAGATCTAACTGCTGCTGAAGCTGAGTACACAATTAAAAAAAAAAAAAAAAAAAAGCTTTTTATCTACTTGGCCTTGGAGGGGCAGATTCTTGAGACCAGCTCTTGACAACATCAAGGATTCTACTGGGGGCAAGAGCACCCATCTTCCTCAGCAAAAAAAACATGTTTTTTTTTTTTTCATTCTCTTGGCTCCTGTGCATCTATTTATGTTTTGAACATTTGTACAAATCTAACCCATGTAGTGCATGTTTAACTATTTGTATGAATTCCAGACCCCAGTGGAACAAATGTGCCTACAAATGTTTTACACATGTGCAAACACAATTACTAAACATAGGGGATCTGATGTGCATGATATTTTTTTTGAGAAAATGTTAGCTGCCATAGGTCACAAAGGGCAGTGATGGCAAGAACAAATATAATAAATAAGAAGTAGCTCAGAGTTCCAACAATTCACAAAATAGGAGACTTGGTGCACCACCATGTAATCTTATTCCGGCAAGGATCAGTGCAAGGGGAAAACAATTATAATTCCTGCAAAATGCCTGGCAGACAGGTAAATCACAACATTCAAGTAGCAGCAGGTATTCGCACTATAGTTCCCAGAGTCCTGATATCGACATTCAGAATGTACTAGCACTACAAGTCTCAGTGTCTTAATATCAGCATACAACCGGTATTAGCACAACAAGGTCAAAGATGGATAGACGGATGTAATCCTCAGCGCGGCTTCCAGAGTAGTGCAATTGCTGTATTCCGCACGTGGCTCTTTAAAAATGAACTTTAAAATGAACAGAGAATCCTATTCAACTCAGCTTTTGTTCTGTCCCTAAGCAAGAAGGTTTCCAAGACTCTTCAGCAGTGCATTTCTCTGTCTATCACTGGAGCACATTCTGAGTATTCTCTCCTTTTTTTCTAAAGCAGCAGGTTTTCAAACCAACGTTCATACACAAATTCTCATTATATTTGATGACTGTACGAATGACGTTCGAAAGCACTTTAAAATGTAGTTTGCTTTTAACAGTTGATTTTAGAATGAAGGAACTTGAAGAATGAAAACCACATACACTGCTAGAAAAACTTTCCTTCCTGTTTCAAATTTTCTTGTCGCTGCAGTCGAAAGCCAGCGTCAATTTGACCCTGGTAATAATTAGAAAATTGAATGAACGTTCTAGAATGAACATCTAGTGTATAGCCAGCTTTTGCACAAGTCTGTTTAGCAATCAAGGACCTGAGCCCAAATGTCCTCCCTATTTCCTTGGTGCATGATATGTTAAATCTTGTGCAACCTGCTGAGGAACCTCATCTCTAGATCACCAACCAAACACCCACTTCCCATTAGGACATTCCCTTAGTGGCATTCACTAATCTTCCATGCACATTAGCTGACTAATGCATATAATGGCTTTCTTTACAAATGTATTTTTATTATGTAACATAATTTTGTAGAGGTTATTGATTGAACTTCAAAATATTACTGATACTACCTTTACAAGTGCATGCTAAAAAATGCAAACTAATGAGATAACAACATAGATGGTATTTACTGTCACAAATACCTTTTCTCGTGTTATTTTCTGTGTTCTAGATGGCAGGTTGCTATATGCAACTCCAGTGGATCCTCTGTTTTTGGTGATCTACTACTTAATAAAGGCAGACAAAGAGGTATAGTAGTATTTCTTTACACATAAACAAGAGATTTAAAAGCCAGTTTGTATGTGTTAGTGATGAGCATGTGATCTTACACACAAAAGTATCTTTTTTTTTTTTCAGCCTGCTCAACCTGTTATCATTTACTCACAAGTATTCTATTTAAAATATTTTGATACATTTTGTATACACACCCAAAAGGAAGTGCATACCTTTTGACCTGACATCTTTTGCTTCCTATAATAGCTCTGAATGTTATGCAAACAAAAATCAGTTACTTAATTGTTCTCCACCCATTTCTGATTCACAACTGGAAAAATATAAACCAAAACTTTTAGTTTGTTGGATGACTTCAACACTCTTTCTGTCTCAGAGTTGAGATTTAGCTATTGGGAGGGGTGATGGCTTTCAGTCCACTAATTTAGCAACTGGTTAAACCAACTTCTTTTGCTTCCAACATCCCCTTTTTATATCATTTAAAATTTAGCATTCTCATTTTTAATACTTTTAGTTTTTGTCTTTTAGCAAGGAAAATTTCAGCCAGTGGAACAGATTGTGATGGATGAAGAGTTTCCATCTTGTAACTTGTTGCTGCAGTGCACTCAAGTAGAGAAGTCCCTCCATCATGTGACAGAAGAAAAAGGTGCCTTCTTACATTTCTTGTGATATTAGGGAAATTGTTGTAGTATTACATATCAAAATGGGCATTAGGAAAACAAGCCTTCACATTTCCAAAATATTTTTTGCCATTTCAAGAACAAGTGTCTATGTTTAAAATGGGATTACAGGTCCTTGTTTAGACAGACTCAACATTTTATCATGGTGAACAAAAGCAAAACAGGGCGCACTCTCTTCGTGTATTACCATGGTGAAACACAAATTTTATTTAAAAGCATAAAAATGCATACTCACAAACCAAAGGAGGATAAAAACAGAGAACTGTTGGTAATGACGGTTCAAAGTGACAGTAGACCCTTGGTGAGGTAGACTACCGCGTTTTGGGAGATGTGCTCCCTTCTTCAGAGCTTTGAACCGTCATTACTGACTCTTCTCTGTTTTTATCCTCCTTTGGTTTGCGAATATGCATTTTTATGCTTTTAAATAAATTTGCTTCACCATGGTAATGCACACAAAGAGAGTGCGACCTGTTTTTCTTTTGTTCACCAGTATCAAGATTCCCCAATTTAAGGGCTGCACCTCAACGAATGACAGTTACAGCAATCCTAGTCTGCATGAAGATTTGAGCACTGGTTTCGTTTGTTTATTTCAACATTTTATCATACATGAATAGTTTCATGTGAATTTTGCATTTTCTGAATGTTCAATGGTATTTCCTGGCCTTCTTTCTCAATTCCTATAAATTAAAATTGATTCCACCTTCCTGGATAGCTTAAAGTGATATTAAGGGCATTTAAAAAAAAAAAAACACGTTATACTTACCAGAAGTGTGGAAATTTTTTTTTTTCTTTATAACTACTTGTCCAAGGGACTAAATGGGGGTCCCTATCTACTTGTCCTGTTTCGAAAATAAATCCTTTTAACCAAAACGGTATTTAAATCTGAGGTGCTTTTAGGAATGTCTGGGGCCTTTTTAAATGAAAGAGGCTTTATGGTGACTTTAAACTTTTAATGGTTTTTAACATTGCACTGTTTATCTCTTACCACCCTGCCTGTCTCCAGCACCGCACCCGGGGACTAGCAGGGAGGGGAGAGACCCTTTTCATCAGAAGGGAAGTGTCGGGCTCTCTGAACGCTCAGCAGAAGCGCATCTGCTGAGTGAGTAAATCTCACTCCAGCCCCAATGAGAAAAAACAAAATGTATTCCTTCAGGTTACCCTCGCACACAGCACTTGGGGGCTCAGTACAAGCGCATACTGAGCAGCCACATCAAGCTCTGGTATCTGTTATGCTAAAGGATAAGTTCACTAAAAAAAAAACAAAAAGCAATGCTAATTTTTTTTTGCAGGTTAGTTTTACTATTATTTATTTTTTAGGAGCCTGGAAAGTATTACACCAGATCGCTTGTGCAATGCAGGACTCCTGCAAACTGTCAGTGTACATCATACAGGCAGCCAGTTTCACACTGACAGGCAGAATTAATCAGTGGTAATGCTTTGAGAACTACATGCCGACAGCCAAAGGCTGTTGGTACTTGTAAATTGTTCACAGAACTCTGAATGAATGACACGGCTGTATGGGCAGAGCCCCGCATGGCCGCGCTCTTTTCAAAATGGTACAGATGGTATGGGGAACTTCTCCCTGTACTGCTGTCACACAGATAAACGGGCACTTTACAAGGGTGTGTGTGTTGGGGGAAGCATTTGGGCGGAAGCAGGAAATTATAAGTTACGCAACCCTGCTTACCTGCTCTGTCCAGTGGTTTTGTACAGAGCAGCCCCGATCTTCCTCCGGTGCTACTGGCTCCTGCCTAGTGGCCCCAGAGCAAACCGCTTGCTATGGGGCACCCAAGCAGGGTCGCTCCTGAGCTGCTGCTCTACATGTTCATCTACTCATTGGGTCACTAGCTGTGATTGACATTGATCTCAGCCAACGAGGAGGAGAGTCCCCAGAGAGCCTAGGCTCTTGTGCACATCGCTGGATCGTGATGGTGCTCAGGTATATATTAGGGTGGGGGAATTGAAATGGCTCCTGCACATGGAAGTTTTATTTTACCTTCCAGCATAGAATGCATGAAGGTAAAACACCTTGAGCCTTTAAAGCGAAGCTTCAGAGAAACTGCTAGCTACATCATTGAATGTATATGTGGACATTGACTCTCCCACCCATTCACAATTTAAAAAAAAAAAAAAAATTACAGAAAACCTTACTCGCCTCAATTTCATATGACCCTTTGCAGTACAATTCTTTTTTTTGCTGCCTGTCATTGTGACAGAATCATGCAGCCAGCGGACTCTTCGATACCTTGAGAGGACCCTGCTGATAGACAGCAAATGGAAATTATCCACTTTACCAGGGAGGGAGCATCCTGCTTTTAGAAAAAGCCCACTCTGGTACAAAAGAAAGATAACTGAGGACCCAGCATGTCATGTGACCAGATTCAGGTAAGTATTTGGGCCATTTAGTTTATTTTTAAAGCTGAACTCTGGGGAAAAGAAAAAATCCTCCCTTGCAGCAGAACTGCACTCATATTGCAAGGGTTAAATACTTGGCTATGTCTCAGACACAGGAATAGCACTTTTACTTCTCTGATTCTTGCTGCCCTATTCCCCAGTGGTGGACTGTTCATCAGCCCTGCATTGGCCATGTTGTCCTAGGACATCTGAGCCCCAGGGTGCAGAGGGACAAGAGGTTTCTTGGAATGGTATAACAGTGCAGAGGAGCCAGCTGGAGTGGAAGATTGAGTAAGTGAAAGTGCTTTTTCAAGTCCCCTAGACATAAATGCAGTTGCACATGACTCTTGCAGTGTGGGCACAGGCCCACAGCAAGGGAGCACTTTTACTTTTCTTGGAATTAAGCTTTAAAATCTAAATAGAGAATTAGCTCAAGGTGGGTTAAGTTTGAAGGGAGAAGGGGTGTTTAGCCTGGGGATCATATTCAACCCTCTATAGTATTTTTTTTTTTTTTTTTTTTTTTTATTTCCCTTTAACCAGTCTTGTGATTTACTCCATCTGCCTTTTGTTGCTCCAGTGCCTGAAGCATGTCAGATTGACATCACTCTGCATATGTATTTTCTCACAGTGTAATCTCTCATTCTCACTGACATATTTGCTGTGCAGGGGATTGCAGAGGAACGTTCAATTACTTGTTTGCCTAAAGTTGCGCTTTGAAGAGCACCTGTCGTGAAAGGAATGTGTACCTTTCCATGCTTGCCTTAATACTTCACAAACCTAGAACAAACATGCAGCAAATGAAAGACAGAGAAAACAATGAATTCCTTATTTGATATACAGTATTTGTTCTGTGATCAGAATGATGGCTCAGTATCTATATCACCAGGAGTCGCCTGCTGTTTCAGGGTTTGCCTTAAGTGTTGTGTGATGGTCTACAAAAAACATGAATGATTCTGCAGGAGAAAAAAAAAAAACGATATAAGTATCAGAATAAGGTCTCATTCACACTGAGCATTTGCTCAGCTCCTCTGAACGCTCCTCTGAAGTTGCGTAAAATCACAGTAAAAGCCATGTATTGATCATACATTAATGCATTCTGTTGACCAGAATATTAATTTATTCTGGCCATTAGAGTGCATTAATGCGCCTAGCTTTTATGTACATGCTGCCTTTTTTTCTACCCTAAAGCTCCTCTCCTGAACTCGCTTGTGATGTGGAGTTTTTTTTTGGTTTGTTTTTGTTTTTTCATCCTGTAAATGCTATTCTTCTAATACACCTGTAAATGACTATACATAAAGGTGCGTTTAGGGGCATTAAAAAAAAATGCCTGTTTGTAAAAGTGGCATTTTTTTAAAGTGTGCATGAGCCCTATATCTAAATTAACATTTGTCTTTCCATTTTTTTTTTTCTAGAAATTGGCAGCAAGAAGTTTTTTAAATACAACAAAGAAAAAACATTAGCATGGCTTAAGAAAAAGGTGACTTTTTTTTTTTTTCACATTTTACCATCATCGTGAGTGCAGTTACTTTTTGGAGAAGTTGTTGTATTGACTAGTTTACATTTCAAGTAATGTTCTATGTGAGCTACAGATGGACTGACTAAGCTATCCATGCTATTTAAAGCAGAACTACACTGCATCTGAGCACCAAAAATTCATTTTCAATATTTTTAAAGCAAACTCCTCCATCTATCCGTGCTTTATTTTGCTGAAAGATCACTTTGGAAAACGCCCCCTAACATTTCTGGCCATAGCCGTCTTGAGTAAGGGCAAAGGTTTCATGTAGCATTTTTTACTTATTTTAATCCATCTGCCCTTAGCTCAGGCATGAGGTTGTGCTCAGGTGTGAAACCACTCCTTCCCTCTTGAAGACTCCTGAGATATATTACATGATTTGGTGTAACAAAGGTATAGCGAGCGCTACAAGCAGGTTTGTGTAAGCAGCTAGAACACCGAAAAAGGTAACCAACCAACCTTACAATAATCAATAAAAGGAGAAAGATAGGTGCAGCGCTTGAATCTGAGTGCAAAAGGAATGCTCTGTGCAGGTATATATGCATATAAATATAAACGCTCAAGAAAGTAGGTACAATAGTAAACAGTGCGCTAATCAATGAGAGAATGTTAAAGCACACACACAGTCCACATCCCAAGTCAATGGTTGTAGGAGGGGTGAAAAATCCTAGGAGCAAATAGAGTGCGCACTCACCAGAAGTGCGTATAAAATATGCATGTAGAGAGGTATACTCTTCAGAATGTCTCTGGCATCAAAGCTCTGGTCAGATCGCACTCCACACCATCCTCTGTCTCACCACGAAGAGCAGTAACCAGGGTTCATCAAACAGTATGGGCGTCAAAGGTACTCCTTAGTCCAGATAGGCACTGTGGGAGATGGTGCTCTCAAGGAGAGCCCAATAAAGGACACCACATAGTGTGATGCTGTTTGACTTAGGTTTATTAGTCAAAGCAAATACAAAAAATTACTGACCATAGAATGTTGGCCACATGTAGTGGCTAGATGTCCATGTGCTGTAGCCCCCCCAACGCGTTTTGTGCGATGCACGTTCTCAAAGGGTGCAGGGCTTACAGCAGGACATCTTACCCCATCTATTTATACACAGAAATGGCAATCGCGCTAGTCGCGGCGGCCATTTTGCCGGCGTCATGCGCAGTACCTCTGCGCCATTTTGCCATGGATCACTAGGGAGAATACACTTGTTTCCCCTAGTGTCCATTAAAGCCATACAAGGCGGCGCCATATTATAGGTAGGAAATATATTAGATGTCTCTCACTGTTTACTATTGTACCTACTTTCTTGAGCGTTTATATTTATATGCATATATACCTGCAGAGAGCATATTACATGATTTGCCTATGCCAGAAACCAGGAAGTAACTGAAGAAATGTAAAAAAAAGTTTAAAACCAGTAAATATAATATACATTCTCATCTATTTACTAATGCTAGCAGCTTAAGGTTTAAAAATCGTCAATGTTGATAGATTGAAGTTCTGCTTTAATCACTGGGTTTACTCCTTTTGGTGAACATGGTGTAATGTCTTAAATTGGGAAAGGGGTCACCTAAAAGGGGTTTTGTAAAGGAGAATACTGTATGAGTTTAAACCCATCTGTCTTTTTAAAATATTGAATATAGATGGTTTGTTTTCTGTAGGTTGCTGTTGTCCTAATTAACCTCCCTGGCGGTATGATTCTTTCCGATTTTTTTTGTGCTGAAAGCGGTACAATTTTTTTGCATGGAAATATGTAGTTTTTTATTGTAGGCTGTAATTTTTAGGAATAACTCACTGAAATCTGTCCAAACAAGAGTCTAGTAAACATTCCGGATATGATAAAACTTGAAACATGAAATCATAAATTATAATTTAATAAATAATCATAAAAAATAATAATAATAAATTTAATTCAATAATATAATCAAACCAAAAACACTGAAATTTGAAATACAGAGGCAAATTCGCACATCGCTGAGCAAAGTCGCAAAATCGTTTTCAGTGTCTGATGACGAATTTCCCCACGAATCATCACTCAATTCTGCAAGTGGTTCTGATTTTCTATCGCTGTTCTAAACCGCTTTTGACGTAAAGGGACGCTTTTGGACGCCATGGACTTTTCTAAGTTTCCAGGCAGAAAGAACAGTCAAAATGCAGGCAGGGCACAGGACAAAGCAGTAGGGACAAAATATATGTGAAATGCATTGAAACAGCAATGGCGCCCGTACGTCCCGACGTCACAGGGACCGGAACACGGAAGCCAGATGTCGGCATCGGCCGGAGGAGATGGCCGGGGACGCTGCAGGGGACACATCGCGGGAGCGAAGGACAAGGTAAGTGCTGCAGGGACCCCCTGAGCAAACCCGCATGGTAAGCCCGAGTGTAGCTCGGGGTAACCGCTCTTGGTATTGAAATTGTACCCCGAGCTACACTCAGGAAAACCGCTAAGGAGGTTAAGGCCCGTTCTTTTTGCTGAAGACTGGGTGTACAACTTGAACCAGGCATTTCGTAGATTACAGCAGTTCACCTCTTCTAAAAGCACTTTCAAGCTGGTCTGTGGACTATTGCATGTTAATATCTTGTCAGTGACATTAACCCCTTGACGCCGACGTAACACAAATATGCGGCCTCACGGACCTGGGCTTTTTTCCGTGGGGCCGCATATTTGCGTACCTGTCTTTGTGTGTTGGGAGCGCCCCTCAGCGCGCCCCTCAGCGCGCTCCCAGCACCGAGACCGCGGTGTCACTGAGAGCACCGGGTCCCGTTCTAACGATCGGGACCCGGGACTCCCGGTTCCGGGTCACATGATCGCTGTGATAGCCTCTGATTGGCTATCACAGTGATCAGTCACTGTGCAGCCCGGCCCCCTTGTTTTTTTTCTCTCTCTCTCTCTATGAATGGAGAAGAGAGATACATTGTATCTCTCGAACTCCTGTCAGAGAGAAGGAAAAAAAAAAAGTTTGTAAAAAAAAAAAAAAAAAAAAGATAAATAAATAAATATTAAAAAAATAAAATAAAAAATAAAAAAAAATACCTAGATCAAGGTTTGATCTAGTTCAGTGCCAGGGTTAGTGTTTAGGTTAGTCAAGGTCAAAGGTCAGGGTCAGGGTCAAAGGTCAGGGTCAAAAGTCAAGGTCAGGATTTAAAAAAAAAATTGGTATCAGTGTCAGTTAATCTTAATGTCAGTGTCAGTTAGTGTCAGTGTGTTTTAGGTAAAAAAAAAAAAAAAAAAAGACAAAAACAAAATGCGCACTATGGTTTCTGGGCTGTACTAAGGGTACAAACAACAAATAACATACACATATATGGTATCGCTGCGATCGTCAAGAGCTGGAGAATTTATTTTGGGTTTCTCTTTGGTGGTAGGTTATGGTCATAACAAGAAACACATAGCTAAATTAAAATAAAAGGATTTTTTTTACTATTTTTGGCCAGTTTTCCTTTGATAATAAAAAAAAAAATCAGGAGATATCCATTACCATTTACACCAAATGAAAGCCCAATTTGTCCTGAAAAAATCAAGGTATAATCCACCTGGATGTGCAAAGTAGTTGTGATGATATGTACGGTTTTGCTATCACATGTCAACGTTGCAGAATTGTGCTTAGGCATTTAGATTTGTTTTTACCCTTAGGCGTGAAGGGGTTAATCTTACATCAGATGATGGAGGGAAGCTGCTGAAGGGGCAGATGTGTTAGTGCAGCCAGAAGAGAATCTACTGCTGCAGACATTCATGCCTAGACTTATCTGAAGTGTAATTCTTCTGTTACCCTTGTAGCTCTACTTAGTCAAGTCTTATTAATGTTTGGTAGTAAATTACTTTGGTTTGTAGTATATTAAAGAAAACAAGTGCTTAAAGTCTGTTGCAGTCTAAGTCTCTCCACTGTTGTCATTTTTCAGTCTTTGGAGCAAACTTTTTTTACCAATTATTATAAACAATTTACTTGGATTTTAAATAAAACTGTATTCAGCAATAGCAAAATGTAGCCTATTTCAAGTGCCTACATTTCATTGTTAATTTGGCGCTTGCATTATTAGATGATTGAATTTGCTGGAAATTTTGTTTCTCCCAGCAGTCACTGATGTAGATGGTATTACCCATCAAGCATGCATGTTCCTATGATCTGCAGATAATTGCATCATGGGGAAGTAAAACAACTGTAACAGTAGTATTTTCCTAGTATGAGGGTAGTCTGCAGACAGTACAAACTTCCTTTAGAATGCATAGAAAATGAACAGAGGAGAATATGGAGATCTGTCATTGCAGACCTCTCTCTGAAAATACTAGATACTAGGGATACACAGATACACTTTTTTGATCTGCGAGTACGAGTACCGATCCTTTTGGTCAAGTACTTGCCGATACTGAGTACTGTTACTTTGCGCTGCGATTTGTGACAATACAAAATGCATGGGCGCAAATTGCAATGCAAAGAATCGCATGCGATGTGAACTGGAGTGCAATTCCTATCCAAATCGCATCTGGTTTCCCCACTGCTCCTGTGTTAACCCAGACTTGTCATAGCCTGAGTTAACACAGGAGCGGTGCAGGAAAGCTCCCTGCACAGATCCCATGCTGTCACAGAAAGAAAAGCTAGGAATTTTAAATCCTTGTGACTTTCTCCTCTCAGTGCTGGGATGTCAGGATGAGCTAAAGGGGCTTTGGTTAGTCAGCAATGTCGCTGTAACCCATACTGTCATCTCTGCAAGGAGGGGAGAAAAAGCCGCTACACAGGACTGGGGATTTAATATCCCCATGGCTTTCTCTATATAAATCTGTATACGGCTTAAATATACACTGCTCCAAAAAAATCTAAGGAACATTTTTTTAGTATAGCAGCAAGTCAATTAAACTCCTGGGATATTGATCTGGTTAGTTAGGTAGCAGAGGGGGTTGTTAATCAGTTTCAGCTGCTTTAATGAAATTACCAAGTGCACTAGATGGGAAACAATGAAACTACCCCCAAAACTGGAATGGCTTTACAGGTGGAGGCCACTTACATTTTTTTCCCTACTCTTTTCTGACCTTCACTGGTTTTGCATTTGGCTAGGGTCAGTGTTAGCTTGGTAGCATGAGATGATACCTGGACCCTACAGAGGTTGCACAGGCAGTCCAACTCCTCCAGGATGGCACATCAATATGTGCCACTGTCAGAAGGTTTGCTGTGTCTCCCAGCACAGTCACAAGAGCATGGAGGAGATTCCAGGAGACAGGCAGTTACTCTAGGAGATCTAGACAGGGCTGTAGAAGGTCATTAACCTATCAGTTGGGCCAGTGTCTGCTTTGAGCAAGGAGGAGCGCGATGAACACCGCCAGAGCCCAGCAAAATTACCTCCAGCAGGCCACTGGTGTGACCAAACGATCAAAAACAGACTTCACGAAGTTGGCCTGAGTACCCAGATGTCCTCTAGTGGGCCCTGTGCTCATTGCCCTGCTCCATAGAGCTCGATTGATATTGCCATTGAACACCACTTTAATTTTTTTGAGCAGTGTATTTTAGGTTCAATGCTTAATCCCTTTTAAACCAAGGTCAATATAGCCATGACTGGTCTCCCTCTCGGCAATCTCCAGGTATTTCAATCCACATCGATCCTTGCCACTCCATGAGAAATTTTTTCACTCAAGGCTCATCTGTTGCAATTTTTATGGACATAAAAGCTGCAAAGGATGAGCCTTGAGTGAAAAATTTCCCATGAAGTTTTTAAAGAGCAATTTAAATGAATACCAGGATTTATTATTACTATTATAATGTTGCTTGCATATCTTTTTATAGGTTGACCAGACTGTCAAAGTTTTAAAGAACAATGATGTGTGTGTGGGTGGAGGAGTCCAATCTGCCAGCTTTGTTCGGAATAAGCAGGGTTCTGAAGTAAAAGAAGGTAAAATTCTCCATTAAAAAAAAAAAAAAGCATCTTTGTTACTCTGACAGCTGCATTCCTTTGTTATTTTCTTTTTTACACTGACTATAAACAGAAGGGCCCTTGGTGAGCTGGAAGAGAATTGTTTCTTAATGACCATAACCTACATCACCTGTCAAGCAAGTTTTCATGATGCAAGAAGATTTTGTTGAAATCCTGTGTATGGCTAGCATTAGCTGTGTTCATTTCTGCAATATAAGATACATTTTGTAGTAGCTTTCTGTTAAAATAAGTTTAATAGAAAACTATTATTCAACAGTTCATGTTCTATTGACACACCTTTTGTTTTACACCCTTTCTAAACATTTTAGGTCATGTTTGAGTTGAACTATTGCAATTTTGCTCATCTGGCATATTGCTTTAGCATGCTGTGAGCAGAAGAGGTACATTGTATATATCTCAGCATGTCCCGCATATGTCTAGCATTAAAACAGATTTGGGAAGCTTTTTACTTTGGAGAATTCAGAGGAGGCCTAGGCACATCTTTTTCTTGAAAGTTGGATGCTGAATTTTACATTATGAATTAGTAGTTAGAAGACTGCCAAAAGCCAGTGAGTGGTGGAGGATTGGGTTGCAGGATCTCACATTTAAGAATTCTTCCACCTGGAGTTTGCAGTGTGAAATGTCAGTTGGTGAATTTAAAGTACAACTAAAGACTTCTTTAAAATGAGTTCCAAGTTCAGTTATGTGATTCGCAAGTGAAAGAGCCAAATCCTCTTTTGTTTGTGTCTCCTACAGTCCCCCCTCCCAGACACTGCGGTTCTCAGTGAGAGGGTTTTAAACCACATAGGCTGTGCTGTCAATCCAGAAAGCAGTGCGCGGGGGGGCAAGGTGTAACTAAGTGCTGATTGACAAGCTTCGGGCTTGTGAATCAGCAAAGACAATGCTTATAGCCACACCACAGAAACATTTTCCCATCCCACTGTAGTACAGGAAGAGCCTGCTTTAGTAACAACTCTGCTCTGAATTCAAGAGTAGTGAAGCATTTGCCATGACATCACAGGAAGCTGCATTAAGTAGACTTAATGGCAGGTTTAACAAGTATTTGTGGGACTTTGCAATGGGGCCACTCGTGTACCCTGTGGAAAGCGGCTTCCTATGGGGGCAGAAGAGGAGGAGCTAGGACTGCCATGGGGGGGCGGGAGACACCCAAGTGCAGATTCACTTCTAATTAGGTGCTATAGAACCTTTTTGTTTTTTTTTTTTTTAATGGGAGGCAGTAATTCTTTAAGGAAAATTATTTTTTTTATTTTTTCAGTGAATGCATATTTGATTTAGTATTGTAGTGTTTTACCTGCAAATTTTTATGTAACTTTTATATTTTTCTAGTTTGTTCTTCCGCATTTTTGTTGTTTTAAGTATACATATTTGTTGATTTGACACGAGAGTGCGTTTTTCTTGGCTCAGGTCAGACTTGACTGGGAGAAGCCTCCAATGAGCTGAATTGAAAAAGGTCATTGCATTATTAGTGAGCTGTCCTGCTTATTGGAAAACATAACTTGTTAACTGAAACAAAAAAAAAAAAGGCCTAATTTCTATGATTTCATGGCTTTTATACATGAAGCCAAACAGGCTGCCTACATTTAAGTTTGGTCATATGGGAGATTATTATTAATATACAAGATTTACCGTATTTTTCGCTCCATAAGATGCACTTTTTCCCCCAAAAAAAGGTGGGGAAATGTCAGTGCGTCTTATGGAGCGAATATAAAGCGGCCGATCCGGTATTTCCGCCGCCACCACGTCAGAATACCGGGCCGGCCGCTCAGCTGTTCTCTGCTGCAGGACCTTACCTGTTCCTCGGTCCAGCACTGTAGTCTTTCCGTTCTGGCTTCTTCCCGCGCTGGCATGTATGAAAGTCGGGTGCCCACTGCGCATGCGCGAGAAGTGCTGCGCTTTGTGAATGGTCCGGTGTCTTCTGGGACACATGACAGGTCCCAGAAGATGCCGGGCCAGTCACAAAGTGCAGCGCTTCTCGCGCATGCGCAGTGGGCAGCCGGGTGCCCACAGTAAAGGGAGGACAACTCCATGGAAGTGGGAGCGGGTACCTGTCAAATTCAGGTACCCGCTCCCCCTCCCTCCCTAAAGGTCCACAGTCTCTGGTCATCTCCTGTACTGTCTGCAGTCTCTTGGTCGTCCCCTGTAGTGTGTCTGCAGTCTCTTGGTCGTCCCCTGTAGTGTCTCTGCAGTCTCTTGGTCGTCCCCTGTAGTGTGTCTGCAGTCTCTTGGTCGTCCCCTGTAGTGTCTGCAGTCTCTTGGTCGTCCCCTGTAGTGTGTCTGCAGTCTCTTGGTCGTCCCCTGTAGTGTGTCTGCAGTCCATTGGTTCAGAATATTTTTTTTCTTGTTTTTCTCCTCTAAAACGCGTCTTATGGTCAGGTGCGTGTTATGGAGCAAAAAATACGGTATATAGTGCCAACAATTTGCTCAGCGCTTTACAATGTAACGGGAGACAATATAGCAACAATACAGTTCAATACAAGCGGGATAGGAGGGCCCTGCTCCTTGGAGCTTACAATCTAGGAGGGAGGGGCTAGTGGTACAAAAGGTAGTAACTGTGGGGGACAGACTGGTTGGAAGAGTAGAAGATTCCATTATTAGCTGAGGGCAGGATAGGCTTCCCTGAAGAGAGAGGTTTTCAGAGATCGCCTAAAAGTGAGCAGAGTAGGCGATAGTCTGGTAAATTGGGGGAGAGAGTTCCAGAGGATGGGCGAAGTTCTGTAGATGAGCATGGGAGGAGGAGACAAGGGAGCTATACGTTATTGTTAATGTTTTGAATTTTATCCGTTGGGCAATGGGAAGCCAGTGGAGGGATTGTTAAAGAGGGGTGGCAGATACAGAACGGTTAGTAAGGTGGATGATTCTGGCAGCAGCATTCATGATAGACTGAAGAGGGGATAGCCTGTGATTAGATAGGGCAATGAGGAGGGAGTTACAATAGTCAAGGCGAGATATAACAAGGAAGTGAATAAGTTGCTTAGTGGTTTCCGAGGTTAGGAACGGCCGTATCTTGGAGATGTTGCGGAGGTGAAGTCTACAAGATTTGGACAGTGATTGATTGGATTTGGGGCTGAAAGGACAGATGGGAGTCTAGGATTACACCTAGTACCCTGGCATGAGGGGAGGGACTGATGATTGTGTTATTGATCTTGATAGAGAAGTCAGGGGAGGGGGCATGGGCTGGGGGGAATACTAAGAGCTCAGTTTTGGAAAGATTGAGTTTGAGGAAGTGAAGTGACATCCATGCCCATATGTCACTTAGTAGGTTAGTAATGCGAGAGGGGACTGAAGGGGTGAGTTGAGGGGTAGAAAGATAGATTTGTGTGTCATCAGCATAGAGATGGTACTTAAAGCCAAGTGACCAAGGGAGGAGGTGTAGATGGAGAAGAGAAGGGGTCCAAGGACAGATCCTTGAGGCACCCCTACAGAAAGAGGGAGTGAAGAGGAGGAAGCAGAGTTATAGGTAACGCTGAAGGAGTGCTGCGATAGGTAGGAGAACCAGGAGAGAGCAGAGTCTCTGAGGCCAAGAGAGTGGAGTTTTTTGAGTAGAAGGGGATGGTCAACCGTATCAAAAGCCACAGAGAAATAAGAGTATGGAGTAGTGGCCGTTGGTTTTAGCTGTTAGTAGATCATTAGTGAGTTTTAGTAGGGCAGTTTCAGTGGAGTGTAGTGAGTGAAAGCCAGACTGTAAAGGGTCAAGAAGGTTGTTGTCAGTGAGGTAGGAGCTCAGGCGATTGTAGACTAAACATTCTAGGAGTTTAAAGGTAAATCGCAGCAGGGAGATGGGTCTTACGTTGTTCAGGTTGGTGGGGTCCAGGGAGGGCTTTTTAAGTATGGGAGTGATGTGTGCATGCTTTAGAGGGGAAGGCACCAGTAGAGAGGGAAAGATTGTAGATGTGAGTGAGGGAGCATAGGATGGAAGAAGAGGGTGACCGTAGTAGTTGTGAGGGGACAGGTAGTGAGACGGGCTTCTGAGAAAACCTTTAGTGACCTCTTCGGTAGTAGCAAGGTCAAAAGAGGAAAGTGTTGAGGGAGGTTTAGTATAAGGTATGCTAAGTGGGATGGATGTCTGTGCAGTGGCAATGCCCCTACGAATTGCGTCAATCTTGTTTTTGACATGATTTGCAATATCGTAAGCAGTGAGTGAGTTACTGGGTGGAGAAAGTAGAGCGTTAAAAGTAGAGAAGAGACGACGAGGACTGGATGACAAGGTATTAATAAGAGTGGCAAAGTAGGCTTGTTTGGCAGCATGAAGGGAGGAATTGTACGTTAAGAAAGCAGATTTATATAGGGTGAATGCTTGTTGAGTTTTGGTTTTACGCCACAATCGCTCCAGCGCAAGACTATGTCATTTAAGATTTCTGGTGTTGCCAGTCTGCCAAGGTTGTAACGGTCGGGGCCTGATGCTTCATGTTGTTAGAGGAGCAAGTGAGTCTAATGTGGATGAAAGCGAACTGTTTGTTGTAGACAGTAGTGGCCAGGGCAGGACAGGGGAGAGATTCTGTCATAGAGTTGGTCCGTTGCAGAGTGGAAAGGAGCAGGGTTCAAGATGTGAAGGTTTCTGCGGGTAATTGTTTGCTGCTTGGAGGGATAGGTGTTTGAAGACGAGGACACTGTGAAGGTGATGAGATTGTGATCAGAGAGAGGAAAGGGGGTGTTTGTGAGGTTGTAGGGAGTGCAAGGATGGGAGAAAACAAGGTCTAATGTATTCCCATCAGAGTGAGTGGAGGACTGTATACTGTACATTGTGCTAATGCAAAAGATGAGGTTATGTTGAAGAGTTGGGATGTAGCCGGGTTGTTGACATTAATAGGGATGTTAAAATCTCCAAGAATGATAGTGGGTAGTTCAGAGGAGAAAGTAGGGTAGCCCAGCGGAGAAATCATCAAGAAAGCGGGACACCAGTCCAGGAGGCCGATAGATCACTGCAATCCTCAGGGTAATGGGAGAAAACAGCCGGATGCAGTGAATCTTGAAAGAAAAGGATAGAGAGGGAGGGCTATGGAGGACTTGAAAGGTGCTCAGTGGGGATAGAAGCAAACCAACCCCACCACCTTTCCGACCACTGGGTCTGGGTGAGTGGGTCCAGAGAAGGCCTCCATAGGAAAGTGCTGCTGGAGAAGCAGAATCTGCTGCTTGAAGTCAGGTTTCTGTAATTGCTAGTAGGTTACGGGAGCGGGAGACAAACAGGTCATGGACAGAGGTGAGCTTATTACAGGCGGAGCGGGCATTCCAGACAGCACATGAAAAAGGGAGGGTGGTTTTTAGCAGCACTGGGACTGATATTAAATTGAGGGCATTGCGGCTATTCCCGGAAGAAAGAGGATGCCTGGTGTGGGGGTGAGATACTGGAGGACCAGGGTTTGGGGATTGTAAGGATCCTTTCCTGAAGGAAGGACAATCCCTACTCTGACACAGAGCCTGCTGTTGTTTTAGGCTGCCAAAACTGAAATATTCCATGTTTATATTATAACTCAGACTTTGTAAGTGTAAGCGAGCGTTTGCTTTATCCCCACCCTCCCTTGCTACATTTTGATAGATTGCCTTTGGGACTTAGCAGCCAAAGGTTTGATGCCTTCTCTCCGAGGAAACAGTTGTGATCTCAGCAACATGGCTGATGGTGTTTTTGATTTACAATCTTCAGCTGTGCATGTCTGCACTTGCAGATTAGTGTTCTGTCTGATGGTGGCTACATAGTTCTGATGCAAACTCCATTGATAAAACACGAATGTAAGGGGAAACTTGCCTGCTTATTACTGATCTATGCACCTGGGTTCTGGGTAGTATTTGGAAGTGCCCCTTCTTCCATAGGAAATTTTTATCCTCTATGTGAATATAATCTTTTATTGCTGTTTTCATGTGCTATATTGCACATCTGCCATATCGTCTGAACATAGGGATAGCCATAAATTCTTAATCCAAATGTTCTACGTGTGTTTATAACCTGAAGATCACTGCACAGGTTACAGTCAGACTGCACATTCTCCTTTTAGATCTTCCAACAAGTTTCTAGTGCAAGGGTCTGTCTGATTGAACAGGTAGTTCCTCATAGTACATGGCTTTGGTAAATGTAAAGATGCTTGTATAGAGATTGTATGTATGGACCTAAAGCAGATGTTTAAACACTGAAATATCCAGACACTGTACTAAATGTGAACATTGTTTTCAACCTCATATTAATATTTTTTTTTTTTTATGTTGGACAGATGACTACCTCCGCTATGCTCATGGCCTCATATCAGAATATATACCAGAAGAACTCCGCACTGAGCTTTCCCAGTATCTAAAGTAAGATTTGCACTCCATTTTAAGACCCTTTTTAAATTATTAAAATATAGTTATGTAGTGCAAGAATAAGGCTAGCAATCCTCATGTAGTTAGGACTAAAGTGACCGTATCTCTGTAAAGGTTTGCTCTGGACATCCTTCTACTCACTTTACCTGTGTTTGCTTGATGCCTCTGCAGCAAGCACTGAAATGACCGATATCCATAAACCAAGGGGATAGTGACGTCAATGCCCCCCGTCATAAGACTGGGTTTGGGCCTATGCTTGCATGATCTCCTGATCATGTGCTCCTCAGTCCCCAGAATGCCAGGCATTGTGTGAGCTTGCAGTGGAGGAAGAAATGTAGAGGGATCACCAGTAAGTAGAGTATATAAGGGTTGAGGGGTGCAGCCTTTGCAGAGACACATTTGCGTTGCTTGCGCAAGGTGACTGGTTTTTGAACTGGTTAAAACTAGTATACCATCAAAGTTACAGTAAACATTTCCAATAATTCCATAATCCAGTTACTGTTAGGAGACAAGGTTATTCAGAATATTTTGTTCTTTTTGGTCCTTCACCTTGCATCCAGTGGAATGCTGAAAAGCCATAACCCATGCAGCAGGCTGCATACATATATTTTGTCATCAGGCTTTGTGGATAGCTCATAGAGAAGAGTTAAACAAGTAAAGAGGGGATGGACATGAACAGTCTGTGACATTCTAAGGCTTATTTGCTAAACAAATTGAAAATGTTCACACAATAAATTGTGTAAAGACTTACCTCAGTTCTTCAAACTTTTTTGACAGTTCTAGTTGTGACTTGTTCTAAAAGATAAAATGTTAACTTAAATATTTCACACTTTAATTCTGCCATGCAGCATCCCAGATATCTCCAGTCCAACTCCTGAACCTCCTACAAAGGTAAATGACACTGAAATGTGTGTATACTGCAGTGGTGAGCTCTGTAGTTTCAGAAAATTCAACTAACACCTTTCCTTCTTCCTTTTTAATGTGATGCACTAAAATTTCACTTATCGCGCTCTCAGAAACTTTCATATTATCGGGAAATAATGGATCGGCACTGGTTGCGCTTCCTTGTTTTTTTGCATGTAATTTTGAATTGAAGGTTAATTTACACTGTAACTAGTGGGAAGTTTTCATAAAATGATAACCGGGCAGTAAATTGAGAACTTCCTCAATCTAAATTTGCAGAAAAGGAAAATGTCTGAAAAACCTGTGGAAGCAGAAGAGGACTACACAAAATTTAATTCCAGTTCAACAAAAAAGGTGGGCCTTTTTAATCTTCCTAGTTCATGTAATTTTTTTTTTTCTTTATTTTCAATGATGATTGCGTGTGTAAGGCATGACTGCTTTACATGTGTGATGCATACATAATCATAGCTCTGCTGTATGGAGCACCAGTTTAATAGAAGGCCCTACTTCAAGACCGACATGCCTATATGCAGACCATGTCGCGGTAACCTTCCTTTTTTTTTTTTTTTTTTTTTCCGCTTGTGCGTAATTGTGTGTTTAGAGGCTTGTCAATTTTGGAATATCTTCTTTATCTATCCATTTGATGTAAGTTACGTTTTAGTTAATAGCTTATTTTTGAAGATCCCTTTTTTTTTTTTTTTTTTTTTTTTTTTTTTTTCTGTAAACAGTTGGCTTGACTCTGTGATTCTTCTCTCCTCCTTCCTACTTATGCTCTGCCTCCAGACCCCCTATGCTTCTATGCACTTTACAAAATCCTATGATTGCATGATATTTTAAACTGTGGCAACTCAAGTACTTTTGAAGTTCGTCAGTTGCATAGAGATGAACAGCTATTTTACAGTCTAAGTCTACAGTCTAAATTGCCTCAGTATCCGTTAAGTATTTTGAAAATTATATATTTATCCATGATATTTTCCAATATATGAAATGGCCCACTTTCAGTTAGAAAAAGTACCTCCTTTAAACCATTGAGCTCTGATTTGGGAAGAAAAAACCAGTTGGACCCTCTTTTACCGTAGAGGATCATATACAGTGTATGTGAATGAAAATATATATATATCTATTATACACTCTAGATCCACAGCAAATGCTCACAGGTGAGTCGGCATCAGCGGTGTAATCTCCAGGTACGGGTGCTCCCTTAGTCGGAGCTGCAACGTTCAAAAGAGAAAAAAGTTTGGATGCTGCACTCCCAGTCAAGATCCAAAAAAGCCTTTATTGTAAAATAAATAGAGCACACAGATGGCACAAGCAGTGGAAATGTCTGGGTTTTCACAAAGCACAGTTCATGTGTGAAATGCGTTAGCCCTCTTTCCCTTGCTTGTACATTTGTGTGTGCTATTTACAATAAAGGCTTTTTTGAATCTCAATTGAGAGTGCAGCTATTCGGACTTTTTTCTCATCTGATAAAATGTATGAACCAGCTTCTAAGTTAATTATTATTATTTGCTTTTGTTGTAGGCCAATAGCAAGATGACTGCAGCCCAAAAATCCTTGGCTAAAGTGGATAAGACTGGGATGAAAAACATATCTTCTTTTTTTAGTCCAAAAGGGAAGAGCACAAAATAGAAAGTGTTGGAAGGGTTACAACTGTATGTGAAAGAAAAGATGTTTTATTTAAATAAAAACAGTGTTATTTTTGAATCGTCTGGCAGTCTGTTTTAAAAACAGGGCATGTAATTTATATGCTGTAATGGAATTTGTAGTAAATACCTTTTTGAGTGAACACATTTGGACTATATTTTTGGGTAAACCATGATCCTGCAGCTTCAGCATTCACTAAGGCTCCATTCACATTAGGGGTTTCAAATAGCGGGCGGAATCGCCGCGATTCTGCCTGTGAATTGAAAATGCATTGTCACAATGTGAAAATGGGCGATTTGATTCTTGCTGCGTTTGATTCTAGCTGGGATTGCAGCGCGTTTAGAGTAAATTATGCTTAAAGTGGTATTAACCCTATCACCGCGAGGTCTGTATGTCATATGGACCTGACAGCAGGGGATTTTTTACACAATCCAGTGGCTACAGCCACTGGGATTGTGTATAGTACTGATAGACAGATCCCTGCCTGTTGGGTGGAAGCAGTCCCAAACACTTCCACTGCCCCTGGTACCGGGAAGAATGTCCGCTCTCCTCCCATTCTTTCTGTGACCCCAAAGACGACGTGTATGACGTCACTTCCTGGTCATGGCTGTCACAATACATGTATTGCACTATGATCTGCATTGCAATACATCTAGTGGAGACCAGAGTGTCTTTTTGACCCTGCATGGCTCAATAAAGAGAACATAAAAATCATCACATAGGGGATGTCCCCTATGTGATGGGAAAAAAAAGTTACGCTAAAGTTTTTTTTAATTGCAAAAAATAGTTACACCCAAGCACTTAACATCCCTGCCAAAAAAACATTTTGAGGCTACCCCACCCCCACATGTACGAACGCAAACTCACACGTCTGGGCTCCTACGCGTGAAAACGACGATTGTGATACAAGTTACATATTGCCGTGCACACCATAGTCAGAGCAATAATTCTAGCACACGTAGGCTCCATAACACTAAACTTATGACCTATAGGCACTTTTGAAGCATTGCCTATAGAAAATGTAGGGTACTGAAGTTTGTTGCCATGTCACAGGTACACAGAAATTTAAGGATTTTGCATGTGGGTTATCTTTACTCGGCGCAACTTCATCCTTTATATTTTACCAAAAATGTGGGTAATTTATTTTGTTTACCAGAATTGAGTGTTACTTGTGAGCCACTAATTAAAATCAATACAGGTGAGCTGACATCGAACACATCCTCTATTCATGTGTATATAAGTACCAAAAAAATGATTAATAAATGTTGCGCTCCCAATCTGAGTGAAAATATAAAAAATATATATAAATCAGATCAATAAATCCCTAAAACATAATCTAAATAATAATCCCCCAAAAATCTTAATGATCAAATCCAAAAACAATGTGATCAAATAAATATATAGTGACTACTATAAAAATAAATATTGAATAATGCAAATAAGTCTCTGTTGAAATAAGGTGACAACTCCCAGTGATGTGATTCAAATAAAATATATACATTTCAGGTGATTCCTTAGTGTGATTAACTTGTGCGCTCACCTCCTTATTAGCCTATGATAGGCATACTGAGCTTTTTGTTCACTTATGGAACTTTTGAAACCTGTGTTGCATCATATGAAGGGTGGTGGGTATCTCTGTTGGCGTCCTGTACTCCTATCCCTGCAGGGATCTCTCTCTCCTGCTGCTACTCTCTTGTTTTCCTCCTTAGGTGTTCCTCAGTGGGAGAGAAATGCAAAAATAATGCCTTTGTCCTTTTTAAGGTTAAATTACTTTATTATGTGCCCAAATGGACTCACATTCAATGTAATTTAAAATCGCTTTGTTAAAATCAATAGCCGATTACAGTGTGCTCTGTGTATGAATATAAGTAATATTCAATGATGAAAAAGTAGACTAACTAGGACAACTACTAACATAGCTAGAAATGTTCTCTTTATTTGAACCATTCTCTGAAACCTTGGAGATGGTTGTGCGTGAAAATCGCAGTAGATGAGCAGTTTTTGAAGTACTCAGACCAGCCCATGTGGCACCAACAACTATACCACGTTCAAAGTCACTTACAGTGAAGGAAATACGTATTGATCCCCTGCTGATTTTGAATGTTTGCCCACTCACAAAGAAATGATTAGTCTAAAAATCGAATGGTAGGTGTATTGTAACACAGATACAGAAAAGCAACAAAAAATTCAAAATAAATGCATGTCTAACAAATTATGCACTGATTTGCATGTTCATGAGGGAAATAAGTATTTGATCCTCTTCACAAAACATGACTTAGTTCTTGGTCATCTTGGCAAATCCCTTGTTGGCAATCACAGAGGTCAGACGTTTCCTGTACTTGGCCACCAGGTTTGCACACATCTCAGGAGGGATTGTGGCCCACTCCTCTTGGCAGATCCTCTCCATTTCATTAAGGTTTGGTGGCTGACATTTGGCAACTTGAACTTTCTGCTCCCTCCACAGATTTTCAATTGCATTTAGGTCTGGAGACTGGCTAGGTCACTCCAGCAACTTAATGTGCTTCTTCTTGAGCCACTCCTTTGTTGCCTTGGCCGTGTGTTTTGGGTCATTGTCATGCTGGAAAACCCATCCATGACCCATTTTCAATGCCCTGGCTGAGGGGAGAAGGTTCTCACCCAAGATTTGACGGTACATTGCCCTGTCTATCGTCCCTTTGATGCGGTGCAGTTGTCCTGTCCCCTTAGCATAAAAACACCCCCAAAGCAGAATGTTTCCACCACCATGTTTGACAGTTGGGATGGTGTTCTTGGGATCATAGGTAGCATTCCTCCTCCTCCAAACACGGCAAGTTGAGTTGATGCCAAAGAGCTCGATTTGGTCTCATCTGAGCACAACACTTTCAACCATTGTAAAAATACAGCGAGCGCTCACAAAAAATAAATAAATTATATATAAATAGATAAATTATATAAATATAAATGTCATAAGCTGCATATGCACCAACGTAGGGACCCTAGAACCTAGTAGATATCAATAAATATAGAAAAGGTGCAGCGCTAAAATTATATACTAAATGAAATTTGGTCATCAATAAAAATAACCTCAGAAATCAGTGTTCATGATCATAACAAAAATAAGTGAATGTGGCATATTGTCAAGCGCCAAATAAGAACGTGGTTATATCAACAGTCTATAAACCAAGAAAGTGTTCAAAGATTAGTGCAAGCTTGACGTGGTCAGGTCAGCAGATTAGTGCTCCATCAACATATAATACTTTCGTGACTTTCAGTAAATCCGTGCAATTCAATCCGTGTGAGAGACTGTATAAAATGCGCAACCACCAGATGCACATAAAACGTGCATTAAGCTGAATATGACTCTGTAGGGTGCCCCTTTAGGTAGATCTGTCAGACAGCCTGGAAGAAGGATCCCTCCTCTGGATACAAGCCTCCTTTGCAGCCATGCTTCCTCTGGGGTCCTCTGTAATCTTTAGCTCAGGTCAGAGCCAGTAATATAAATGCCTCCTAGCAGGGGCGGACTGACCATTTGGAAACCCGGGCATTGCCCGAGGGTCCGGAGTCAGTAGGGGGCCCCATGAGATGCCCCTGGTACCTTTTTCATAGGCTTTTTTGAGTTTGGGCAAGGACACAGGGGCCCCATAATCCCCTATTGCCCGGGGGCCCCATGAGTTGTCAGTCCGCCACTGCCTCATAGTGTTGTAATTTAAAGGTATTTATTGTTTAAAACTAAATATAGATGATCAGTCAGTCATAAAGTGCATATATTGCATACAATTCTGAATAAGCTAATGGCTTCTTTCTATATGGCATGTGGCTGATCAGCCACTCTCCAAGATGGCTGCCGGACTTTCGTGCGGCTCTGGCGGTGTGACGTCACGACGTACAGCTCCTCGTTGACGCGTTTCATGCCAAGCACGTTATCAAAAGGGGTGTGCCTCACGTTGGACGTCCATTGCATCATTATATACTCTTAATGCGCTTGCGCACTTTGCGGGCGCCATTTACGGGCCTGGACATGTGCTTCTTGAGCAGAAGGACCTTGTGAGCACTGCAGGACTTCAATCCTTGTCGACGTAGTGTGTTACTAATTGTTTTCTTGGTGACTGTGGTCTCAGCTGCCTGGAGATCATTGACAAGATCCTCACGTGTATTTCTGAGATGATTCCTCACTGTTCTCATGACCATTGACACTCCACGAGGTGAGATCTTGCATGGTGCACCAGACCTAGGGAGACTGACAGTGTTTCTTCCATTTGCGAATGATTGCACCAACTGTTGTCAACTTCTCACCAAGCTGCTTGGCGATAGTTTTGTAGCCCAGTCCAGCCTTGTGTAGGTCTACAATCCTGTCCCTGACATCCTTGGACAGCTCTTTGGTCTTTGCCATGGTGGAGAGTTTCTAATATGATTGTTTGATTGCTCCTGTGGACAGGTGTCTTTTACACAGGTAACAAAATGAGATTAGCAGCACTCCCATTCAGAGACTGCTTCTAATCTCAGCTTGTTACCTGTATGAAAAACACCTGGTAGCCAGAAATCCTGATGAATGATAGGGGATCAAATACTTATTTCCCTCATGAACATGCAAATCGGTGCATAATTTGTAAGACATGCAATTCTTTTGAATTTTTTGCTGCTATTCTGTCTGTTACAATACACCTACAATTTGATTTTTAGATTGATTGATCATTTCTTTGGGCAAACATTCAAAATCAGCAGGGGATCAAATACTTATTTCCTTCACTGTAAGTCCCCTTTCTTCCCCATTCTTATGCTCGGTTTGAACTTCAGCAAGTCTTCTTCACCACATCTCTACATGCCGAAATGCATTGAGTTGCTGCCATGTGATTGGCTGATTAGCAATTTGTGTTTCCAAGCAATTGTGACCGAGTGTACCCAATAAAGTGGCCAGTGAGTGTAAAAAAAAAAAATCTAAATAAAGGCACGTAAAATAAAAAGGAATTCACATACTGAATGTTATCATCTTGTATTAACTGCTTACA